AAGCCAATTAATTCAAATAATTAATTAAATCCAAATTAATTCAAGTAAGTAATTAAATCAAATAACAAACCAATTAAATGCAATTTAAATACTCAATTAAATACCAAAAATATCCTTTTAAAATTAGGGGTATTATAGTTAGCTTGGGCTAACTATCCAGCTTGTACTTCTCTTGGTTTGATAAAATTTATTTACCTTTCAAAAAAAAAAAAAAAAAAAAAAAAAAAAAAACTGCTAAGTAACAAGTTAAAACCAATATAAAATACTTGAAAGGATTGAATTTGTTGCATTTTCCAATTGAGATTTAAACAAATACCTTAAACACACTGTCAGGAAGTTTTACTTTTTGGAGCTTTCTTAGCTAAATGTAAATTGACACATACAAAACAATAGTGCACTTGAAATGGTTCTACATATGTCATAACTCATAACCGATGCATAAACAAATTTCTGAATCTATTCGGCTATCAAGAAATGTTTTTTCTTACTTAGGTGCTCCAATTACTGTTGATAAGAAGAATACTAGAGGGAGAGATCTGAGTTAATTACCTTCAGTCATCGATTAGCTCATACATGAAAGAACTAATATAAGATTATATATAGGATGCAAAGAGCAATTACTATATAACTATGGGATAACAATCTAGACACAGAGGTCAGTAACGGCAAAAATGAACTATGCTGAAAACTTAAAATTGAAGATAATGAATTATGATGTCAAGAACTAGAGAAAATAAACAGAAACAAAATTATAAGAAAATGAAAAAAAAATAAAAATAAAAATAAAATAAAAAACACTATTGCACACATATATCTATATATTAAAAAGAATAAACATATATGTTGGCTCACGCCATTGGACTGGTTTATCAAACCAACATTCTGCAAGATAAATCTTGTGTGAGGTGATTATACAATGGGATTCTCAAGCAACAAATACGAATAAAACATCAACGTCTTGCTCTCTAAGAGGAGAACAAAATGCCTTCCCTTATTATAGTTTTGTTCTGGGACACATCTTTTGATATTTGAAGCTTTATCTCTCCAATAAAAAGGAGATGCATAAGGGAAAATGCTCAAAGGGAGAAAGCCAAGCACATGTGCACATGAGATGTATTTGAAAGGTCCTTTTACTTGTTTCATGGATTCCTACCAGCTCTCACTTGTTTCATCTTTTCTTTTTTGGTGTTTTATATAACAAATATCATATGATTACTCATACATGGAGCATTTGGTCCTAAACGTGAACAAGAAAGTGTTGGTCCACTTAATAAGGGGTTAAAGAATAAAAGTATAAAGAATAGCTTCTAAAGAGCACAATTAGTACCTTTTTTACTAGATTATTATTTTCATTTCCGGTATAAAATGCTTGTTGGATCTTAGTTCGAACTCCGAATCATTTATGCTTATTCTATGGAAAACATCGATGAACAACTCCTCTGTCTCTCTATTCACGTTTGTCTCATACTTGACTATGTACGTGCAAAACTTTATTTTGTTGTATTTCAAGTCTACACCAAAAATGTTGCTAGAGGCATTTTTTTATACTTGTAAAATTTATCATTTTAAAGCAAAATAATAATTATATATATATATATATATATATATATATATATATATATCAAGTACGAGAAACCAAAGTAATTTTATTCTCTTCTTGTATATTGCTCCATTTATTTACTTATTAATTGTTTTTTCCGTTTTGTTTTGTTTTTGATTTGCCGACTTAACACTGCACCATCAAACACTACAATTAATATTGTTTCTTACATTGAACGGCCCGTCCACAAGTGCTCACCTCAAGTCGTCGAGGTCTATGCATGCATAGTTAAGTACACAAGAGAATGATGTAACATATAATACATTTACATATATAAATATATATATTTGTATGTAGGTATATGTTGTATATATTGAGAGGGTGAAATATGCACTGGAACAGGTTGGCATTTGGCAGTGGTTAGTCCAGGGGAACATATTTGGAAAGTATTGACTATTAATAGTAACAAATATACGTTAACAAAACCAAAATATAAGGGATATATCCAAAAATGAAAAAGATCACAAATTTATTTGGGTTCGTAGACGGAATTTTCATCATACATTTGGTTAGCAAGAATTTTTTTTAATAAAATATTATTTTGTGAGTTTGGAGAGTATGAAAATAAAAAGAAAGTGATTGAAGTTACCAAAACTACCCTTTTAGTTATAAGATTACTTTATACTCTTTTAAGACATTACTCTATCTTTTGAATTATGAACAAAATTAAAATTTAAGTTCAAAATGAAACAATGAAACTGATATTTAATAATTTTATATATGTGATTATAGGTACAAGTTTAATTAATAAAAAAATTTGTTCCGAAAAATATTTAAGAAAAAAAATTGAAGTTAATATATAAGGGAGAAAAAAAAGGGAAGGAAGAAGAAGTTGAGTCTAAACTAAATACAATGCTTCAACTAAATTACTCTGATAAATCTAATATATGTAGAATTAAAATTAAATTAGTTTAAAATTAAATTAGTTTGGTACATCTAATTACCTAGAGTCCTAAAGTCGAGAGAAGTCTATATATAAAAAAGTACATGTACGAATTAAATTGTAAATTATATACGTAGAGGCACTAATCTTAATTTTTCACCTAACACTCTGCTCTTAAATATTCAGATTTATATATATATATATATATATATCACTCTAAATCATTATTAAGGGGTGCATTAAACCCCACTAAATTAACTATGACCCAATTGCAATAAAACCCCCTAAACTAAAAGTAATCCCTTAAACTATAGAATTGTTGCATTCTAGGACAATCCGTCAAAATTGTTAACGGAAGGTGAATGGCAGCTGTTCTTTCATTTTTACAACTTAATATGCTGACGTGACAAGGCAATCTTATTGACCAATTAAAAAGAGACATCACATCATAAGTTCATATACTATACTGCTTGTTATATCTATTTCTCACGGCAAACACTCCTTCCCTGTAGTTATGCTATATGCATGAAACTCTCACAGAATTATATATGTATATATATATATATAGACTGAGTCATTCCTTGCTAACTTGCGCTTCATCGTTGTTTATCCAAAGTCAGCCCTTGAAATCATCTTCATTCTTAATTCCAAACTCCACGGTTAATTTCATCTTGACATCTTCAACCTTATCACAATTGTTTGGTTATATTGATTTCTAGCGCCATACAATCCCTTCATTTGCACATGATTTACTGCAAGAGTTCTCCAACAATTTATCTATTGGGTTTGGATGGATAGGGAGGGACAAAAATAGTAAACTTAAAAAAGAAAATGGTGTCAAAGAGTCGTGGATGGTGATGGGTTTGATTGATATAATAGACTGAATGAGTAATTAGTAATATACAGAAAGTTGGGTTATGGGTCTCTATCTCATTTTTCTTCATTCTCATCATCGTCGAGCTCCTGGATCTCAATATCTTTGCTGCTTTTGTAGCTGAATGTTGGATTCTTATTCCATGGCTTGCCAGACCCTTTCCGGTCACGTTCCATCCGGAGTTCTTTGATTGGGTTCCAGAAAAACTCTCTCTGATTCTGTATTGTAGAGAGAGAAATAACTTTTTTAGCTCAACATATACACTTTATATTTTTTTCCTCCATTGAAGCTCTGTTCGCTTTCTTCCTTCCTTTCTTGAATTAGTCAGCAAAACAACTCTAAAAGATAGGCAACAGTTTCATCACATTAAAAAATAGTTATCAATCATCATCTTCAATTCCACAAAAGAATGCGGGGGTGAACCATTCAAGAGATAATCAAAATTGGGCTTTTTTTTTTTCTCTCTACAATACAGAATCTGAATTGGGTTTTTCCAATTTAAACCGTAGAAATAGTGAGTTAAAGAATTAATCAACTAAATGTGGATCGAACGATAGAGAATGGTTGAGAATTAAGTGTGAACAAAATTTGAGTTTATTCACTATGGATTTCCATATGTAGTGCTCTCTGTATATATATGGTTATCTCTAGCTCATATACATACATATATATATATACACATATATCTTTCTATGGGACTAGTATTGTTGTTGTTGTGTTCTAATTTCCTTTGACATGGATCTTCAACTTCCAAGGGAGAGAGAGGCAGAAGTGTGAGAGATTTATTAGGGTTTGAATTGTTTGACAAAGGAAGGTGAGAACATGGATTGGGATTTAAAACGAGTTAACCCAGTAAATATGGGTTATAAGGGTAATAGTGTCTTTAAAAAAAATTGAGTTGGTCACGTGACCTGCAGAGGTGGCGGAGGTGAAATCTCTGTGCTGAATCAACGGAAAGTTTGATGGAGTGTGTATTTTGCAACAATTGAAATAGTTTAGGGGGTTAATTGTTCAAATAATAGTTCAAGGGGATTTTTTGAGAAAGAAAAGAAAGTTCAAGGGGGTTTTATGCACTTTATCCTCATTATTAATTATAGAAAGAAAAAAATATAATAAAATTTTAATTTTGTATACACATATAAAACTATATACAATTAAAATAGTATTACATTATTATATAAGCAATTTATAATAGAAGGGAACTGACATATTAAAGAAGTTTGTGGAGAAAGTGGCATGGGAATAATAGAAAATTAAGATATAAAGGCACCACTTTGACGGGAAAGTAAAATTTCTCTGTATTTTTTGCGAAAAACATTTTGAGAAAAATTAAACAGTTATGAGAAATTTACTTCTTAAAAATTTTCTCTTTCACATTAACCAAACTCCTGACAAATTTTAAAAAATTTGTGTCTTTTCTTTTGTGATGAAGCTCCCCACCCAATTGATGAGTTCATCTCTCCATTTCAACTGAAGTTTTCAACTACTGTATGATTTAACAAATAAAAGTTTTACATGAAAAGAAATGCGAACGAAGAGGCACACTGCTTCAATTCTCTCTCTCTCTCTCTCTATATATATATATATATATATATATATATATATAATAGAGATGAATCATGAAGTATCAAACTTGAGAAAAGAGTAGTCCTGAAAAAAATAATATTAATAATAGAAAAAACTGATCCATAATTATATATTCAACTTAGATGTTAGTTTACAGTTAAATCCCTCGCTAGTTTAAAGTGGGTATCAACATTATGCGTCCCATAGGTCCAAAATCTTAGTTTGTAACTCTTAAATATTTGTCTATATTCAAAAAATAACTTGAAAAAAAAAAAAAAAAACACTCGGCATAATTTAATGTTATAAAAATTCAATTATAAAAAAATTTATTTTTAAATAATTGTATTAATATGCGTCGGTAAACATTACATTTCCTGGTCAAAGCCTCATGGACCCAACCACTTTGGAATCAATAAATTTGTTGGGTTTTATGGTAAAGTGGGTACTTTCATTAACAACCACAAGAACAAGTGGCGCAGAAAAGTCAAAGAATCATGTGATGTGTGACTATTTGTACCCTCTTTTCAACTGAACAAGGCTAGTATATTAACTACAAGGAAACCAGAACACCACCAGAATTCTAGAAAAAATGCACTAGATCTCCTAAATAGAATAACACACATCAACATGCGAATGACCATACATCACAACGTGAATCCAAAATAATGAGTTTATATAGTTGTCACGCAACCATAAAATGAGCAGAAGCATTTTCATTTCGATCCCATCTAAGCCGAATTCAATACCAAATCGATGCCTGAATATCAAAAATAATACCACAAATCAATGTTCAGAGGCATGGAGAACCCTGGTGTAACTAAAAATTGCATATTTAATACAGCAAAACAGCTGAGTAACAAGTTAAAACCAACATAAAATACTTGAAAGGATTGAATTTGTTGCATTTTCCAATTGAGATTTAAGCAAATACCTTCAACACACTATCAGGAAGTTTTACTTTTTGGAGCTTTCTTAGCTAAATGTAAATTGACACATACAAAACAATAGTGCATTTGAAATGGTTCTACATATGTCATAACTCATAACCGATGCATAAACAAATTTCTGAATCTATTCGGCTGTCAAGAAATGTTTTTTCTTACTTAGGTGCTCCAATTACTGTTGATAACAAGAATACTAGAGAGAGAGATATAAGTTAATCACCTTCAGTCATCGATTGGCTCATACGAGACACGAAAGAACTAATATAAGATTATATATAGGATGCAAAGAGCAATTAGTATATAACTATGGGATAACAATCTAGACACAGAGGTCAGCAATGGCAAAAATGAACTATGCTGAAAAATTAAAATTGAAGATAATGAATTATGATGTCAAGAATTAGAGAAAAATACATAAAATAAAAAATAAAGCACTATTGCACACATATATCTATATATTAAAAAGAATAAACATATATGTTGGCTCATGCCATGGACTAGTTTATCAAACCAACATTCTACAAGATAAATCTTGTGTGAGGTGATTATACAATGGGATTCTCAAGCAACAAATAGGAATAAAACATTACTGAATCATGTCTATGTGGAGTTTACTAGCTGCAAGGGTATGCATACAGATTTATGGTTTGATATTGATGTACATTATTTTAATTCTTTATAATGTGGTGGTGTTAATTTTCAAATCTGTGCCAAACTTCTCTCTTCTCCCCGTCTAAATTTTTTAATCATTGCACCAAGCAGTGGTATATACAAGGAACTTGGTATACTTAAAAGAAAAGAATGTAATTATTGCATTATAAAGAAACAATTTTGTATGGCTATAACAGAAAAGATAGATAAACAAAACAAGATATACAATCTAAGTATTAAAAATAAAAACACAAAAATAAATAAAACAGACTACCTTAGCATATATTTGCTAGTATAACCAAAACGAGGGATTGCTTCATTCAATGCTGAGGTGGGATGATCCAGGTAGAAGGCAGTTGAATCTTCAAGTCGTAATGATAAATTGGAGTTATACTGTTATCTTCCAAGTTGAAGACACCCAAATCATGAGAATCTTCCAAGTTTTCGGCATCGGGACTAGTGAAGTAAATACAATTCTTCTCCAACCCGGGGAAATCAGGGGCAGAGACAGAGAGAGACTCATTAATACCAATAAACAATGCCCTATCGCCTAAGCTTGGCAAGAGTAGCCACTCCTTGTTAACAAAGTCCAGCTTATACACATCAAACAGAATGGTCTTCCTCGGAGTGGAATAGTCCTGCTTGCCATTATCCTTAAAATGGTGAGAATAGTACCTAACAACCATCAACAACTCCCCGGAAGACTCCACTAGATAATAATCGTGATGGCAAAGATGTCTGAGCCGGTGTTGGTGTTGGTCCATTGTGGGGTGTACCAAAGGAGGCAAACGAGAAATGATGGTATTATTCTTTGGAGAGGCAGCATCGCGGAGATCCCAAGCTTCTATAAGTTTATAAGAGGTGGACAAGGCATAAAATTTTTGGTCCTTGCTGAAATAGATGACATCAAAGTATGATACCCCCGCACCATCTAACACAGTCCATGCGGTGCCCCCAATTCTGCAGAATGCGAGTTTATAGTTCTCGTAGCCTTGGATGACCATCACAGTAGAGTCAGAAGAACACTTTTTCATTTCATTATTATTGATGTTTTTGTGATGATGATGATTGGAAGGGAACGAGGACGGGGTTGAGGACAACGCAATCTTCTTAAAGAAAGACTTCTGACTTAAGCGTTGGGATGATATGGGCGAGAATTGATCCCAAATGCTGAACTCAGTGACAATGGGTGGTGAAGAAGAAGATGAGGTGTGAATATTGGAATTGTAGCGAACGCTGGAGATGATACAAGGTAGGGTTTGAATGGGAGGGAGGGGGAGGTAAGGGAGATAAGAGTGGATGAAAGGGTTGAAAAGGTAGAGAGAACAATTGCGAGGGTGGATAAAGGCGAGCCAGCCAAGAGACGAACCGAAGCAGATGGCTTCGTTTGGGGGAAGTAATTCCCTTTGCCATGGAAGCATAACATTCATTCTCATCTTCATCACTTTCTTCTCTCTAACACTAAAGAAATGGTAGCAGTCGGCGTCGTCTTCGTCCTTCTTCGCCACAAGCTTAAACCTTTCGCCGTCGCTTCCAGCAACCAACCTAGATCCAGCAGGGAGCATCAGGAACGGTGCTGATTGAAGACGGAGGGGTCCTCCTAGTGAATCCTCTTCATCAACTACTACTGCATCTGCTGCTGTTGCTTCAGCAGAAGAAGAATAACATTGAATCGACGAAAAGTTCGCACCTTTTTTGGAGACTCCAACTGATCGACGAAGAAAATAGTCCGACGATCGGACGGGAGAGAGCAAACCACCACCACATGTGGAGTGGTGAAATCTGGCCGGATTGGAACAATTGCACCATGCTTTTAGAATAGACCGGCGGCAATGCAGCATCCGATCGCCAAAACTCCTCCAATTAGCCATTTCTATCTCTTCTCCTACACAGCGAGTTAAATTATTCTGCACTGCCTATTCCAAACCCTAAATCATAAATACCCCTCAGATCACAGTAAATACGTTACCAAAACCAAAATATATCCAAAAATGAAAAAGATCACAAATTTATTGGGTGATAATTATCTAAGTAAGAGTTGTATTTTGTGATGGACATTTTCCTTGTCTACCGTGTCTATTCCGTCTTTATTGGTAGGGAGAGTTTGATAAGTAGCATAACCTAAGAGGGAGTTTATATATATATATATATTTGCTTAATTTTTTCTTCATTGAGCTTTTAATTTTTTTATTATTTATTTATTTTATCCAAATAATAGGCTTACATTAACAATTGAAAAAAAAAAAAAAAAATTTCACAAAATTTGAGCAGTTAAGAAGTTTTTTTATAAGTTTGAGTGGACCAATTAAAATTTCATAGTATAAGTTTTAGGGGTCACAAGTTACCTTAATTTACAAAATAACAATCTTTGGGGGCAAAAAGAAGACATATGGTAAAACTAGGAGAAGGGGTGAAGATTACTTATGATTCCATTGGCTATATATTACCCCGTGCCATCTAGCTGACAGCCTTTCCCATCTCTTCTGTTTTGGTGTGTGCAAATATTTTCCATTTTTTTGGCTGTTACATCAGCAAACTTCTTCTTCTTCTTTCTTCTTTCTTTTTTCTTTCTTTTTCTTTTTCTTTTTTTTTTTTTTTTTTTTTTTTTTTTTTTTTACAGAAAGTTACATATCGGCATTTTTTTTTAACCAGCATCTCTTCTGTTTTGGTACGCAAGTATTTTCCGGCTATTACATCAGCAACCTTTTTCTTTTATTTTTTGTCTTTTGATCCTCAAAAAGTTATAATATACATATCAGCATATCTTCTGTTTTGGTATGCAAGTATTTTCCATTTTTGGGCTATTACATCAGCCACGTTTTTCTATTTTTGTTTTATTTTTCTCCATTGATCCTCAAAAAGTTACTTAAATACCAGCAGCAATTTAATAGGCATAGATGAGTAAGTAATTCTATGTTAGGCTCGGTTTGTTTCCACGTAAAATATTTTTTTTGAAAAATATTTTTTTCTTTAGATAAAATATTCTTTTATTTTTAATTTTTTTAGTGTTTAACAAAAATCTACTATCACGCTTTGAAACTTGACTCAAACACCAATACTAAAATAAAAGCACAACCTACTTGATAAAGAACAAAACTAGCCAAATCCAAACTCATAGCCAAAAAGTCCATTCATAGACTAACCCTTAAAAAAACAACTAACATACCTGTGATCATTTAGTCCATAATCTTTATGTACAACTAAAAGTTAAATTTACAATCACAAAAGGACAGCCGCTGGCGCAAAAAAAAAAATTAATTTAAGATTTGAAAACCTACCTGCTTTTATGGCTACTGGTTCCTCCTTCCTCCTTTCTCCTTCCTCTAGTCTCTCTCTCCCTCTCTCTCTTTAGCCGAGACCAAGTGATGTGTGTGTGTGTGTGTGTGGGGTTTTGTTCACTCTTATATAAATATATATATATATATATATACTTTCCACTAAGCCTTGAAGACTTTGAGTCAACTAAGCTTTTTCCAGAAATATGTAAGTGGGAATACACTGGCAATTTCATCCTATGAATAAGGACAAGTGTTACTGTTGCCACTTATACACTTCCACAAGTGTCACTTATAACATTGTACATTTTTTTTTTTTTTTTAAACAAATAATACCCCACTATTTTATTTTTTTTTTAAAATTCAAGAATATCACATCTATCATTAAGTTTGAGGTTGAGTCTATCGAGCGGGACATGTAAAATAACATGTTGAAAATTAATGAAGAAATTATTTTTGTTAAATTTTAATATTTTTTTCTTCCTAAATATTTTAGGAAAACTCATATTTTGTAAAACCTAGCTAGCTAGACAACATAACTTTTTATTTAAAAAGAAAAACTTGTTACGGGCTATACCACAATATATGCGTACATGTATTTTGAAAAAAATAAAGAGCAAATTACACAAATGACTCCTCATGTTTACAATTTGCACATGTAAATAGAAGATGGTCACAATATAAAGGTCCAAATTAACTGTTCGTGGTTAGTGGATTGATATGACTTTACATTTTTTTCCTTAAAGTTAAATTATTTGTTTAATAAAAAAAATCTAAAAAAATTTGTATATTGTTAAAGTAATAATTTTGCCCCTAAAACTTTATCACCAAATGACAAAAACCACAAAATTATCTGCAACAGAACCAATCACGTACCCAAATCCAACCATAGAGTGACAAACCCAAATCCAACCTCAGAGCCACAGAGATTGGTGATGTCTGCTCCTGCGGTGAAGAGTGTCGCCGTCTCGGCTTTTCGGGAGGTGCTCCACCGTGTTCGGCAGGCGGCGGAGAGGCCCGGTCGCCGGCCCGACGAGGTGAGGGTGGTGGCAGTGAGCAAGACCAAGCCTAACTCTCTCATCCGTCAAGTCTACGACGCTGGTCATCGCTGTTTCGGCGAATACTACGTCCAAGAAATCATAGATAAAGCACCTCAGGTTCTCTCTTCCTTGAATTTTTTGATTTTATATTGCTTTGATTGAAACCCCTGGTTATTGCAATATGGTGTGCAGAAGAAGACTTGATTTTGAAATTGTTGAATATGTGGCAGCTTCTGAGGACATTGAGTGGCACTTTGTTGGGCATTTGCAGAGCAATAAAGTGAAACCACTTTTGGGTAATGTACCAATATGATTGTAATTGTCACACATTCTTTCACGTCCTTACAATGTTTTGTAATGTTTCTCTGGATTATAAATATCCTGACTTCATAGTTTAGACCTATCTTGGTTATAGATTTCTTGAACTAATACTCCAATTTAGAAAATTATATAGAAATTTCATCTAATATAGGATCTAAAATATGTACTGCGCACTCAGATGCTTTTTTTTTTTTTTCAATCTTTACCCAATCTTTGATTGATTCCCAACCCAACTTAGTTCAAATCTTATTGGGTTATGCTTAGTAATTATGTAATGGCAGCGAACCTTTTTTATGCTCGTAATTTTTGTCTCCTTCTTGAATCTTATTGTCCTGGGAATCCCGATATTTTTTTAGTTCTCTCCTTCTTGAGCAAGAGGGGGCTCGGTGCTGATGGATGATTTTCCGGTGACTTGGCTCGGCGTCGTCCCAACTTCTTCCTCTCCTTGGAGACGCATGATTCGATTGATGGTTAGAGAGAGAAAAGAGGAAAGATGTGGTAGGAAAGATGGGGTGTACCTGGGCAAAAATGGAACTTATCAAAATACAATATTTTTTATTTTTTTATTAAAAATAAATACTTTAATTTTAAGGTTAAAAGTGTAAATTTGTAATGTTTTTTTTTTTTTTTTTTTATTATCAAACAGTCAATATGAACCTTTGTGTAATATTGTTATAATTTTTATATGCATGCACAATATCAAAACTTCGTGAGTGGTTTGTGTAATTTGTCCAAAAATAAAAATAAAAAAGTTGGTGAAAAAAACGATTTAAACTACAATCACATCACACAGTAGTGATGAAAGTGACGAAAGTTATATGAACTAATCATATCCTCTTTCAATCATTTTTTGTGGCATAAAACTTAGGGAATTCGAAACCTAATCAAATGTTCCAGGACCCCTTCACACTAAAATAATATACTTAAACATCATAATTATTTCAATTTATTAACTATTGCTATTACATGTTTTTTTTTTTTTTCCCACTTATTAGTACTACAGTTGGTTGTTATATTATTTTTCTTCAACTAATCATTGATTAACATATTATTTTGTAATAATTTTTATTTTATTTTATTTATATTTGTTTGTCTTTTGATTTGAACAATTGGATACATGTCAAGTTCTTTTATTTTATTTTTATTTTTATTTTTATTTTATCAATTGTACTGCAGCATCTGAAATAAAATCCAAAATCCAAAATCCCGGGTCCTCAATGTATATGAATGATATATCATATCTTAGAACTTCACAATGCACATGATGAAGCATACACCATATATACATATCTTAATATAGAAACAAGTAAATTTGTGATCCAAAATATGCTTCGGCCCGTAACTTGATTTTGAACTAATTATTGGGCTTTGCCTTCGGAAAAAAGAATTTTGATCCTTCTTTTTTTTTGGGAAAACGGGGACCTGGATTTTAATCTCTATTCTAGGTATTAAGTTTTAACCAAGTTTTGTAGTATGGTACGAGAAAACACTAAAAGACAGAGAGAAAATATTGTGGGATTAAAAACTTGTAATATTCGGGGATTTTTTTTTTTTCTTGCATAGTGAAATCTTTATGCTGATCTTGACCGTGATCGTTACATTTTTCTGTCTTTTTTATTGTGATTGTGGTTTAGCTGTGTTTGTAATAATACCTAAGTTTGTCCTTGTTAATTGAAATCTTATAGGTGAAATTAGACTATCCTACCGAGTACCTCGTTTTAATATCAGGGCGTTATGGGCTCAAGGGAATATATGTTATTCTGAACTTTCTTACATTACACAGCAATATAAAGCAATATGGATCATATGGTAAGGACGGAGGATCTTATTTTATGACTCCGTCAATTGTTGGCAAGATTGTTGGATTCGTTAGAAGGTCAGGTTTTCAAATGTTTGCGATTGGAGTAGACGTTAAGCCAATCCAATCTAACACACATATTGTTGGTCCATTTGGAACTACGGGTGGAGAGCAGTGGGATGACAGAACCTACACCACAGTAAGGGAATTAATTATACACTCCGGATGGGTAATTGATTCAATCCAAGTTGTTTCTAATGATAAAGAAGGAAAGCTAGCGTGGGGAAAAAAGCACGAAAGGTGTAACGATCTGGGCAATGTCTTGGAGAGAGGCTCAGTGAAATAGACATATCTGTGAAGATGCGGACTACCTGCATCTGAATAGAAAGACATTATGAAGCTTTACTGTTCCTTGGGATTGGCTTTGGGCCTTTCCTGCGCAGCTTAGCTGGAGGGCGAAGAAGGCCTCCTTCCAGGGGGCCCGAGCCATCAGTGAGATACCACTTTGGAAGAGCTAGAATTCTAACCTTGTGTCAGGACCTACGGGCCAAGGGACAGTCTTAGGTAGACAGTTTCTATGGGGCGTAGGCCTCCCAAAAGGTAACAGAGGCATGCAAAGGTTTCCTCTGGCTAGACGGAGATTGGCTCTCGAGTGCAAAGGCAGAAGGGAGCTTGACTGCAAGACCCACCTGTCAATATCAGGGCGCTATGGGCTTAAGGGAAAATATGTTATTCTGAACTCTCTTACATTACACAGTAATATAAAGCAATATGGATCATATGGTAAGGACGAAGGATCTTATTTTATAACTCCGTCAACTATTGGGAAGATTGTTGGATTCGTTGGAAGGTCAGGTTTTCAAATGTTTGCGATTGGAGTAAACGTTAAGCCAATCCATCTAACACACGTATTGTTGGTCCATTTGGAATTACAGGTGGAGAGCAGTGGGATGACGGAACCTACACCACGGTAAGGGAATTAATTATACACTCCGGATGGGTAATTGATTCAATCCAAGTTGTTTATAATGATAAAGAAGGAAAGCCAGTGTGGGGAAAAAAGCATGATAATGACGGTGGACAACCAAACATGGTAATATTATATATATATATATATATATATATATATATATATATATATATATATATGTATGTTGAAGATTTTAGTAATCAAGCTTTCATTTATGCAAGTACGAATGTTTCATACTTACCCTTTTTAAACTAATATAACTTATGTAGGTCAAATTAGAGTACCTCGATGAATTTTTTATTTCAGTTTGGGGGTACTATAGCACAGTAGGTGACAGGGTTATTATCAGGTCGCTTAGATTTCAAACCAACAAAAGCAAACATGGACCATTTGGCATAGAGGAAGGAGAGAAATTTGAATTCCCATCCACTGACGGCAAGATCATCGAATTCCAAGGAAGGTCTGACCAGTATCTTACTTTAATTTGCTGAGGCATCTCAAGCTACAAAACACTTTTGAGTTATCTCCAGCTACAATACTCGAGGCTACTGAAGTTACAATATCTGAGGCTACTGAGGCTGCAATACCTATTGAGGCTACAATACCTGCTGGTCCACTTTAAGGTCCTGGTGACAGCAGTTGGAACCTTCCTATTCAAGTGAAGATGCCACTTTTTTGTAGTAGTCTTTTAATAATTAACAAATAACTGCGTATATATCAATGCAGTTATAATAATGGATACTAGGTGTTGTCCTTAAAGATTAGTTAAAGTGGTTATGGAAATACAAGTTTGTGTCTGTCTATATATATATTAATATATGTGATTTTAGGATAAGGATCTCTCCATGATTTCAAGCAATTTTCATGTTTGTCTGTGTGCTAAACCTGAAAGTTTGAGTTAGTTATTTATTTTTGTGAAACTATGTCAATTTAGTGATAAAATGATATTGTATGTCATCTCTGGTGTTTCTTATAATAAATTGGGGGTTGTACTTGCAAAAGAAAAGACTTGTTGGCTATGCATATATGCAAATATTTACGCTCTCTATCCAGTGTAAATATATGATTCTTTATTTTTGTTTTTATTTTTGGAATGTTTTAACTATATGATTTGATAATTCATAATATGACATTAGATCTATTTTGTAGATAAATGGTATTGAAAATCTATACTTTCTATATTCAAGATTCCAAACTTTATTTCTAGCCGGAAATGATTCTTGTACCGAATAGTTGCAGTAAATTGCTAAACCCACTCTTTTAATTAGTCAGTTATACAACAAATAGGAAAGTAAAGACCTCCACTTAATTGTATTTTGTATAAATAGCCAATAGCCAATAGCCAATTAAAAATCACTACTCTTATCTAAGAAAGAGTTGTATTTTGTCATCGACATTTTCCATGTCTATTCCATTTTTATTAGTAGGGAGAGTTTGATTGATAAGTTGCTACTAAAGTAACATAGCATAACCTAAGAGGGAGTTTTTACTATTTTTTAAACTATTTTTTCTTTTTATTTTGTTGCTCAATTTGTTCTTCATTGGAGCTTTTAATTTTTTTATTATTTATTTATTTTATCCAACTAATAGGCTTAGTTCACAATTGGAAAAATATATATATGCATAAATGAGGTGAGCACCAATTCACTCATCTCTCAATTAGGTAAGCCCTTCCATGCTAACCCCATTACCACCCTATTGGGTTGAATCTTAAACTTGAAATTGACATATTAATTGGTAAATATGAACTCCAGATCAATCTAAACACACTCATTTGTGTTACAAGTTTATATCAAATTTTGCATTAATTGAGTCTTAGAAATCTCAAGAATTAATTGCAAATTGAGACCCTTAAAATCCTCAAGGACTAATTGTGATGAATAATAAATTTTTAAACAAAAAAATAATCGAAATGAGGAGGTGAATGCTCCCCACCCAATTGATGAGTTCAGCTCTCCATTTCGGTTGAAGTTTTCAATGACCATATGATTTAACAAATAAAAGTTCTACATGAAAAGAAATGCGAATGAAGAGGCATACATCATCAATTCTATCAAAATTTTACCTGCTTGGTTTATAATTATGAAATATTTGTCTATTTTTTGAAAAACCGTACAAAAAAATATTCTACATGATTTAATTTTCTAAAAATTCAATTATAAAAAATTTGTTTTCAGATAAGTGTATTAATTCTTTGAATGCTTTATATCGGAAGGGGAAACCCAATGCATTAGGAAACATTACATTTCACGGTCATAGCCTCATGGACCCAACCACTTTGGAATCAATAAATTTGTTGCGTTTTATGGTAAAGTGGGTACTTTACTTTCATTAAATAGTTCGTTAATGATAACCACGAGAACAAGTGGCGCCGAAAAGTCAAAGAATCATGTAATTTGTGACTATTTGTACCCTCTTTTCAACTAAAAAAAGGCTAGTATTTTAAGTTTTCACTGCATGGAAACCAGAACAATGAGAAATGCTAAATGACCCGATTATTATTCACCCGATAAAAATCAACCGTACGTGTCAATACTGGATTGGTCCAACCGCCGCACAGGTTGTTCCCCTTTCTTCGTCTCAGCTTTACTCTCTCATCTATCTATCTCTTTCAATCCTCTCATCTCCCACCGCCCAGCTCCACTCTCTCATCTATCTATCTCTTTCAATCCTCTCATCTCCCACCGCCCAGCTCCACCCCAGTCCGTTGATGGCCGATGGTAGGTGGCTGTCAAGCTTTGGTCATCGCCATCCTTATCTGGCCGAAGAACCATGCGCTGGAGAGGAGTAGGCCACGACACCGTCCTCATCATCACAGTGAACATGATCAAAGCCGAGAGTCCCTCCTCGTTGTGCCAGTGTGGATGATCTGCGACCGGTGATCTAAGTAAGCCCAGTTGGCTTGCCTAATGCACATGGTTAAGTAATTACATAAGTAAATCCAGATTAACAGTGAGAAAAAATTATGGGACAACACCACCCAGCTTTATCATCAACAGAACAATAAGCTTTATCTGTTGGAAATTTTTATATATATATAATAAAAATTATTTTATGGTCCTATACACTACGTTTTTTAAAGTATGATTGTAATGTAATTATTGATACTTGATGATTTGATGGTCTAATTGGGAATATGGTTTTATACGATTAGATTGTGGTTTTCCAACTTATTTGGTATGATTTAATTTTAACCATTAATATCTAAGTTTCCATGATAGGAAGGGAGACTCAGGTATGCTCATTTGTAGAGAAACCGTCCCCACTGTTGTTGTTATATATAAGGGTTTTAGAACCCTTATTCAGACCTATCATATCGACAACTCTCAAAAGGGGGTAAAGCGCTCTAATATTTTGCAGGAACTCACAGAGGATTACATGGATATTCTAAAGATATATGTGTGTTAATCATCAATCAGGTACGAGTCTAAATTACTCTTTAATTAATTACAGTATACTGATTTCTACATGAATTATTGAAATAAAACCCAACAATTGATATCAGAGCTATATTAGGGTTTAAAGTTTTTAGTGTAGAAATCATAAACAAATATTACACAAATTATATTGATGTCCGTGGTGATAATTAATCAGGTTTACGCTGTATTACTGTGTCTACCTGTGTGTATATGTATTATAGATGTTTGATCAAATCTATGATGAAACTGGAACAAATAGCATTAGTAGCGTACTGTCACGGGCCTAGAGATTTGGCGCAGCGGCACGGCCCGTGCGGCACCAAGGCGTTGCTTTAGCTCGCGCAAGTGCCCTGGTCAGCCACCACGACCTGCCCTCCCAAGGATACATGCTGACTGGTTTCGGCCTGCCATGGCCTCGTCAGGGGAACAGCTCCAGCTCCCGACCAGTTTGTGCAAGGATGGCCAACTCCCTTCTTCATAGTCAAGTCCACGACCAGCGACAAGCACCTCGAACTGAACCGAGTCGACCTGCCTGAACTCTGAAGAGGTACCATCTTGTGCTCCTGCACGCCCCTTCCCTGGAACCATTCCCAGTCAAACTCTGCTCTTTGCCAACCAGCATGCGTGTCTTCCATCCTCCGAGCGTCTTAGGAATCACTTCGTGACATTTTCCCCCACCCAAATCCTGCGACGTCCTCGTCGCAGTGCGGCACTTCACTACTGCGTCCACTCCCTTCCAAAGTCCGCCTCCATGCGGTATGCTCGCCTTCCCACCATCGCTTCCTTGTGCAGCTCCCTGCACTGCACTCACCCAATGATAGGCCTCGGACCAAGGGGATGTCCAGTCCTCAAGGACGTGACTCTTCTCCGTCATGCTGCCTCCGCGACATCCCGAACAAGCAATGGCCTCCTACCGACTTGATGCTCGCCCTTCACTATGGTTTGCATCACCCAAGGACTAAGCACGAACTTTGGTGCGCGCGGCCCTCCGGCCCTTCAATGCGCAACTTCAACGGATGCCTCTTCCTGGGGAGATGGAGGCTCTCCCCCCCAACTGCATTGATTCCTCCTCATCGATGCAACTTCAATGCACCGTCTTCATTCTCTGACCTCTCCCAGATCGACAAGGGGGCACTGATACCAAGTCCTGCTCTGATACCATTTGTCACGGGCCTAGAGATTTGGCGCAGCGGCACGGCCCGTGCGGCACCAAAGCGTTGCTTTAGCTCGCGCAAGCGCCCTGGTCAGCCACCACGGCCTGCCCTCCCAAGGATACATGCTGACTGGTTTTGGCCTGCCATGGCCTCGTCAGGGGAACGGCTCCAGCTCCCAACCAGTTTGTGCAGGGATGGCCAACTCCCTTCTTCATAGTTAAGTCCACGACCAGCGACAAGCACCTCGAACTGAACCGAGTCGACCTGCCTGAACTCTAAAGAAGTACCATCTTGTGCTCCTGCACGCCCCTTCCCTGGAACCATTCCCAGTCAAACTCTACTCTTTGCCAACCAGCATGCGTGTCTTCCATCCTCCGAGCGTCTTAGGAATCACTTCGTGACAGTACGGTGAAAAGAACTCTCTTTCAAAGACCTACAGGCCGAGTTGACAAAACTGATGGGGTAGACAATTTGATAAAGAATTGGTACGATAACTACATGTACGAATGTGTGTGATGAAAGGCAATCAGTCTTCCATGTGCTGTAATATCATCACAACATTAAATTAGGCTGTTTTTTCTTTTCCATGTAGTTTTATTTGACCCCAGTGGCATGTACAACCATGTTAAAGTAATTTTTCCTAATATTAGTTTTGTAAAAAGGAAATTCATTATGTTATCCAGAAGCCCGAATAATCACTTAAGGAAGAACTTACCAGAATTGCACCTGAAAAAGCAACTATTGCTAGTGCAAAACTTGCACTTTGACTCTCAAATATCTTTAACTTAATATAAAGTTTTTTTCTGGTTAGGAAGAATATTCAAATTGTTTTTTCTGTCAATCAAAAAATATATTTTGTGCGTAATTCCTCTGCATAATTGTATTGATCTTGTGTTAGATTCATCTTTGGATTAATCC